GTGTGTGTTAGAGGTTCGGGGTCATGTTGGATACTGATTGGTCAGAGGCGAGTTAACAGTAACGAGTCATTTCTTCAGGTCTGGAGGACAGTTCTGAGGTCTTTTGTGGCGTTACTCTGCCCCGTCTCATGGGAAAATAGCCAGGGGGGTCTTTCCACCGTAGAGCTCAGGAATGAAATATAACTTAGGTCAAGATGTTATCTTTCACCCGCCAGAGGTCCAACCCTGTGACCATCAGTCAGGTCCCGGAGACCAGCCATCTTCCACTGACTCAGGGTTGCTGACTATCCGGGGAAAGGCCAGGCCTCTGAGGGGCGGGCAGAGGGAGACATGATTTCTACAGCTGAGACTTAAAACCGGTCAGTCATAAGGACCTTCGGTTTCGGTTTGAGAACCTGTGCCCTCTGGCTTCTCACTCAGTGACCTTCCTGCTGTCACACCACACCGAAACCTCATACACCCAGTGTAGCTTCATCTTCTTTCAAATTTGGTGAGCCTCCACCACTGTCGTCTTACAGGATGTCAGTGTAGCTCATTAAATAAATTGCAAAATAGTATAAGATTGCTCTTCCTCTTTAGCATTTCATTCTATTAAAATTAGCAGTAATTACTAAAATATAATAAAATTATGTTATTAAAATCTTAGGAAAATAGAATCATGAAATTACCTATTGCTATAGAGTTCAGACTTGTTTAAATGTCTTAGATGTGTCTTCCATATTTTAAATTATTTAATTTATAAACTAATATGCAAAGAGATACATGCATATGGATTAGCAAGTCCAGTTACTAAGGGCTTATAAACGGTCTCCCCAGCGTGTCTGGTCTCCCCAGTGACTTTACCCCTAAGTCAACTTTTCCAGGGGCAACCACATTGCTATTTATTACTATATTTGTAAATAATATGCATTGCTATTCTTAATTCATTCCCTTTATTCTCATTAAGGTATGTGAGAATTTAAGTTCATATATCCCATACTGTTCCCCCGACCTGCAGTATCCTCCAAAGTCCTCTCGATGTAGTTATTTCAGAATTTTTGGTTATTTGCATATTCAGTGTTTTCATTATTGTGTCTGTATATTGTTGACCCCTGAACATGCAGTATACCACTTTTTATTATCCCGGAGTAACTTCCCTCATACTTTTATTTACTTGGCTTGCTTCAAAAATTTAAGCCTCTTCATACTTTCCAACAGTTCTGTAAAATGCCTTTCTCTGTTTTTCTATGAAGAAACAAGCCTGGATAATCTGATAGTTCCATTCGTTCCAGACCCTTCCATCTTTCTGCTTCAGTTTGGACTAGTGTCTTTTCTGTGACAAACTCCTATTTTTAGATCTCATGTATTCTGCCTTGGTTTGTTTTGATGGAACACGTTTGAAAATGAATTTATTCTACCCTTTCCCTCTTAAAAGTTTGCCTAGGTAAGTTAGAGGATTTAAAAAAAAAAACAAAAACTTCCACTTGATATTTTTTCTGGGAGTAAAATTCTAGATTAGAAATCATTTCGCTGAGGATTTACAGTGTTCTCTTTCTAGGTTCTAATGCTGTCAGTTGCCATCCTGATCCCCAGTCCTTTCCCTGTGACCTCATTTTTTGTTTTTTGTTTTTCCCTATGGAAGATTTTGGTTCTTTATCCCTGGTATTGTCAGATTTCACAGAGGTGTTTCGATGGTGTTTTTGGTCATTTGCTGTGTACTGTCTCCTGGCCCCTTCCACCCAGAGGCTTCTGTCAGTCTTGGGAAATTTTCTGGGGTTTTTTTTTTTCTGTTCTGTGGACCTCCTAGACTGATACTCTGATCTTATTTTTTTATTCTACAATTTCTATTTGTTTTTTTCCCTGTTCTCAAAAAGTGCTTTATGTTTTATGAAACTTCGGCCTCTAAAAGCTGTTTTCTCTACCATAAGCTAATCTGACTGATCTCATCTCTCTAAATATTTGAATTACAGTTATTTTGTTTGCCGAAAAATGCTTTTATTTCCCAAGTTCTTTGTTCCTGTTTTGTTTTGGTCTCTATCATGGTGAAGTCTTTCTTCAAATGTGAGGCATTTCTTCCCTGTATATTTAAACAGTTAAAGAGGCGGGGGGGGGGGGGGGGTTGTTTGGAAGCTCTACTCAGCAGTGAGCTAGCCCATCCAGTCAGGTGGCCAGCATTCTCACCAGGGACTCCTAAATGTCAGCTTGTCAAGAGATCTCCCTCTGGGCTGGTCCAGTTTCTCTAGACTCCTCTGATCCCTGCTGGACAAGTGGGGCGGGAGTTCATCAGTGTGCCTGTGTTCCCAAGCAGGGTGGGGCTGGAGGGGAGCAACTGTTCGGTAAGCAGGCTCTATTTTGCCCTGTGCGTTGCTCCTCTGTGCTGCTTGTTCTCCAGTCCAGTCTCTGATTTAAATTCTCCAAGACCGTACACCTCCCTCACCTTCCTTCCCTTGGGTAGGGGCAAAAGTAACCATCTCTGCCCCAGTTCATCATAAGTAATCTGGGTGTCCCATCTTCTCCTTGCTCTGACTTTTCAAACAATCCCCCATTCAGTCTCCCGCCTGTCCCAGCCAGTTCCTAGAACTTTCTTGGGTGAGTTGGTTTGTCTTCAGGATCTCTCTCTGCAGGCACATAGCACTTAAGTCACTTAGCACGAAAACATAGGTTTTCATTTCTCCATCTACTTTCTGCTTTATGTATTTTGATTAAGGGTTAGAAATGTCTTCTAGTTTTATCAAAAAAGTTTTTTATTTCCTTGTTATTTTGGGATGTTTTTCAAGAGAAGGGGGTAAAAGGCCTTTATCCCATCCACTTGAATTGTCTTAGATATTTCTAAATTATCTTATAATTTATCAGAGTTTATAAAGACTTAGCTTTTTTTCCTTTTACATTGACGTAGAATTAATGGGTTAGTCATTTAACTAATCAAAGTCAATATTTCTATATTTATTTTGAAATTCAATTGTCTTAATCTGAGTCTTTGTGGAATAGTAATTTAATCTAGTTTATGCTATTAATGATGAAATCTTTGGTTTCTGAAGATTAAATTACAACTTTTTCCCAAAAGAAAATGAGCAAGTTTTAAACTTGACTACAGAATCAGACAGTTGTTTTTCCTTAAACGACAAACCTTATTAAACATACTGGCTTTGATTAAAAATATTTCCTCTGGTAGTATATATTTCTGTATTTAGATCACTTTTTACAAACATGGAATGCATGTTAGAAAAGACTAAGTCAGGCAGACATTTCATGAGATCAAAAATAAGCAATTTGGTAATTTAGTGAAAACTTAGTGTCCAAACCGTGGGGGTGGAAAATTAATTTTCTTTCTACCCTTCTAAGTTCTGTATGGACTATATAATCAAATTAACATGAGACTAACAGGAGAAAAATAGTCAAATTTATTATATATGTATATATGGGGGTTCCATAAGAATATGAGACCAGAAAATAGATGAGGCATTTAAGGCTTATGCCATCTTTAGCTAAAGAGGGTTGTTTGTAGTTTGGGACATCAAAGGGGAGGAAGACAATTCACAGGGGGATGGAAAGCAAACGGTAAATGTTTGCTGGGCCTTCTTTAACCATGGGATACAGAGAGCACTTTGATCAGATGGGCCTTGCTAGGTTCCTCTCCATCACACTTAGTTTAAACTATAGTTATGCTAACACCTTCCTTCCTAGAGCAGGCCCTCTATAAATTCTTTTAGTCAGAGGAAAAGTCAAAGGTTTTAACTATCTTTCTTAAAAAGAACCAGCTTAAAATAACTAGTATCCCCAAAAGGCATATTTTAGGGTGGCAAACTCTGCTTCCCCTCAATACTGAGCATGTCAGTATATTTTAGGAAATGTTCATATTGACCAGGTATTAAGCTGGCTGAATATAAGAATTTTGGTGTTTTAGTTTTGCTAATGGAGAAATGTTCTGTAGATTTCTGGAAGACAGTTGAAACTAGAAGAGAAAGCTTAGACCACACCACTCAAGTTATGCAAATTACTCAGAGGAGCAAATGAATTCTTAAAGTTAAGTTTTACTTACACTGATAGAGAAGGATACTGTGCCCCCCTTAAGGCAGGATCTGGTTGGTATAGATCTTAATTTGGATTTTGTAAGGATAGTAACAAGGAGAAAATTCTGAGATGTCCTCCATTAAATTAAAGCAGGCCAGAGGGTGGAAGGAAGAGAGAAGGGTTAATCAGTTAACAACTGCTGGGCCAGCTCACAAGACAGCCCACATTCCTGTTTGTCTGTTGGAATCTTGGATTAACTTCTAGGTGGCTATTTCCACAATTATCTAAAAGAGTATACAGGCGCCATGGAACCCAGGAGCCTCTGTTGCTTAAACTTTCCAATCTGTTGCCCACAGCCAGTCCAGCAGGCGAGTATCTACTTCTTTCTTGCAGACCCAGTGCCCTGCCAGAGCCCACACCTTTATCTATGGACAACGTAAATGCTTTCAAAACAGCTTACATCTTTCTCCCCGCCTTACTTGGTGTATAAAAACAACTCCAGGATGTAACTGCTGCTGGTGGTTTAGACTTAGTGCCCCAGGATCTGGTCTTTATCTTGCTAGCAATGGCCCAATAAACCCTTTCTTTTAAACAGACTTTGAACAATAGGAATGTGCCAATAAAGGCATACTGCCTTTGTAGCCAGCCAAAGTTTGTTTTGGGATTTTGAGTGAGTTTTGTGAAGTGTTTTAGACAAGTTTATAACATTAAAAATTTGTCTTTCATTATATGCACCTTTTAATTTTATATATATCTTTTTAAGCTCATTAAAAACCGAGGCTAATTTGGAAGTTTTGAAGTCAATACCTAGTGAAAAATTAATGATTGAGACTGGTAAGTTTGTTTTTGAACTCTTTCATATTACACCATCCCAAAAAAGAGAGAAAAATGAATATTTTAAAACATTCAACCTTAACAGTTATACTTTTCAGAAAACCTTTGGAGGTTATCAATTGATGGAAAAATATTTATGCAAGTTATTTTTTTTCCATTTAGAAGTTTGACAAAGCCTAAGCACTTAACAGTGGATGTCAGTAACTAAGAAGGTTGTAGTTTTGACTAGTTTATTAAACAAGGAGTCTTATCTAAGCATTTTACCTCAAAAACTATTCAGAATTTTTTTTAGACAGTATCTTTTTGTAATGGCTTAATTCTACAATACTTTTAAAATAAAGTGCAGAAATGTAAGTCAAACTAGTTTAGTCTAAGAATTTTCAAAATTAATCTGTTGTCTCAAAACCAGGTTAAAAGCTAAAATTTTTATCGATATCTGGAACTCGGTCTTCTTATATACATGGACTTTTTTAGTAAAGTCAAGACAGCCATTCTGGGGGAAAAAAACATTTATTTCATTGGGGAGTAGTGAAAACTAAATGAGTTCATTAAAAGTACTGTGCTTATGAAACGTGTAAATTATTATTTTTAATTAAGAAAACGGGTTAGTGAATAAACCCAGTACTTGGAGCCACTGTTTCACATTCAGTAGAAGCAATATATAGGTTTGTTTACCCTTAAATGTTTTCATGTTACAACTGTATTTCTTTTAGCCTTAGGTCTTTGGCATGTCATATACCAACGTTAGAAAAAGTGGGTCTTATAAAACATTTAAGAATTTGTATATTTTTTTTTATCTTGTGCTCTTCTTAGAACTGTTTTCTGTTGCTTTTTGCCATGTTTTAAGCTGAATCATGGCTTATATTTTAGAGGTTATAATTAGTCAGATAATGTTCATTAAAAAGTTAAATTTCTTAAGAGACTTCTCTTTTTGCTAACTCCAGATGCCCCTTGGTGTGGAGTCAAAAGTACACATGCTGGTTCAAAATTTATAAAAACTTCATTTCCTACCAAAAAGAAGTGGGAAAATGGGCACTGTTTAAAAGACAGAAATGAACCCTGCCATATAATGTAAGTATTTTGTTTTCATGGCCTTCAGAAACATTAAAAGCAACCACCAAATGCCACCTACAAAATGAACTCACGACAAGTAAAGGTGTGTAAAGTCCAGATCAGATGCCACCATTTTAATGCAGCGATTTAAGAGGAATTTGCACCTGCTTTGCTGTTTCAGCTGTTTTCATAACCTCTGTACCAAAACTGCATGGCAGTAGTGAGAACGTATAGGTTTTGGTCATTTGTCATTGTAGAAGAGGGAGAAGATCTTAAAGCTGTTAATCACCCTTGTCTGGTTTAAGTTCCGTTCTCATGCAGCCCCTTCCTGCCGATGGTTATAAAAATGCAGTCTTAGTAGACCTTTTAAATAATAAATCTGCATTTTTAAATGATTTGACAACCTGAATAAACCTAAGAAATAACACATTTCTCGAAGCCTCGAACCAAAAGGATGTTAGAGAGGATTTCCTTTCCAACCAAAAAAAAGGGGGGTGGGGGGACAGAACTTTAATACATTTCCTTAAAAAAAATCAGAATTTTTTCATTATAACGTATAGCTCATGTGAAAAGAGGGATTCTGGTATCCATCTGTCAGGGAGCTGGAGAGCATATTATAACTTTAAGGAAGTCTGTTACATCATTTTAATGGGGACATCTAATTTCTTATGTTTGCACACAAGCACATAATTTAAATCTAGACTATATAATACAAGCAATTGAACATCTTTATAACATTCATAAAAATGTTGAATTATTTTTAGGTTGTAATAATTCTTTCCATATGCACCTTTTTTTTTTTTAGTAGTTTTTAACAGGTAGAAGTATTCAGTAAGCCAGATCTAAATTCAGCAGAAAAGTGAATTATTCTATAAAAACAATAAAGATTCTGTTCCTTTGTTAACATGCTAGTGTTGGCAAAGACTTTTAAACCCAGTGTTTTAAAACCCACAGAGTGAGGAATATATATAAATTCTGCTTAGTAAGGAATCACTTTGTCATTTTGATGAAATGTAGGTACTTGCAACTTTAGTCAGGAGGCAGTTATTTCTGAATAATTCTTTGGAGATGTAAGAAGACTTCAGAGACAAACTTATTTTTTAGCAGCCAGCATAGAGGAAGTAATTGCCAACAGTGTATCCAAGTCAGTTTTCTATCCTGCCTTTTAAGTATAGCTGTTGACTTTAGCTACACATTTGCAAGGCAAAATTTTAAGATGTTTATAAATGCACAGTTAAGAATTGAAACTTTTGAAAAGCTTGATTCCCAGCTGCCATCATGAATAGGTAGTTCTGAATAGGCAGAGCTTGGGAAGATTAGCATTTGCAAACCGAAAATTTTAAACATTTCAAAAATGCACAGGCCTCTAGTCTAATTTAATTACTAATTAGAAAGTTTAAATTCCTGCTTACATTTTTATCAAACTCCCATGTATTAACAGTTATATGTTTTACTGCTAGAGAGATCTTTCCTTCTAGATTTATAAATTCCTTGAAACACATTTTGGAGCTGAGGCTACACATAAGAATCAAGACAGACAGTTGCTGTCCTCATCCATCATACATGACTCGTACATTGTACCAGGCACTTTGGATAAGGCATTAAACGAGTCAGAGGAGGATCCCTGCCCTCTGGATAAACAAGCAGATAAAAAGTGTAATAATCCCAGATGGTAGTGCTGTTCTAAGAGGTGTGAATATGTGACTGGAACCACAGACATAGCAACTGCCTGCCTTGAGGGGAAATAAGAGAACTAAGGTGACATTTCAACTGTTTACAAACTGGGATTCATGCCAGACTAAGACAAACACCTTTTAAAGCAATGGCAGACTGCAGAAGGGCTTGGCTGCTTCAGGGGAACAGTGACTTTAGTGTGGCAGAAAGTAGGATGCATGAGGAAGTGATATGCCCGGGGAGGCAGAGTGAGGTCTGATTGTGAGGGCCTCTGTGTGCCAACCTTAGTAGTTCAGACCTCATCAGAACCCAAAGGATTTTAAAAGCAGGGAAGTAGCAGTTCTTTTTTTTTTTGTAAACCTGTAAACAGGCATCAGATCAGTGTGGAGAAAGGAGTGGGAGGGAGATGGGTAGCAGAAATCACGTTGATTTTGCACAGTATTATGCATGTAAGTTCCAGTTCCAAGTGCTTAATAGAAAATCCTGTAGTTTACAAAGAAAATTGGATCTTCAGTGTCAATTTAAGTGTTAACAGATTTGCTTTTAGCATATCTTGACTCTCAGATAACAAAAATTTAGTATATAGATTAAGGCTTTTGTGTTAACTTTTGTAGAATAGAAAAGTTCCAGTTAATCTTTAACCTTCATCTTTAATTCCTTTAGGTGTTTATATTTTAAAAACTGTAAAGGAAACAAAAAGCTTAAGACAGAGACTATTTAAATGTTTGACTTTAAAACTTTCTAATTCATGTATAAAAATATTCTATAATATTGCTAGAAAACACTGATAATTATATCATTCTAGGCAGAGAAACTGAAAGATTGACACCTGGGGCTATTCTCTCTTGCAGGGAAAAAGAGAGCCCCTCCCCCATAACATACATTGTTCCAAGTCAACACCTTTTTCAACTTCCTTTGCTGTCAGCGTGTTAGTGATCATGCATTGCAACCCCTTGCCATCCTTTATCACTAGTTCTCTAAGCAGTGGCTTTCAAATTTTGCTAACCCCATAGTGTATCCTACATTGTGTAGTATCAGACATACATATAAAAATAAACATGAAACTCTACTTTCCGAAGTGCAGTGTACTTTTTAAAATTTTTTAAAAGCTCATCGTGACCCATTAATGAATATGTGATGACCCACTTTGAAAGGACTCTCGCTTTACACTGTGTTAGTTCCCTAATTGTGATACACATAATATAGGCTGGTTTTATCATTTATTTGAAATTGGTTCTTGGCTCTAGTTATCTGCAGAACTACTCCCAGAAATCTGTCTCTAATTACTCTATTAACTATCCTAGCAGTTAAAACTGTTCTGTTGATATTGCTGAAAATTTTAATATCTGTTTAAACTTACTAAAGGTGCTAATACAGTATCTTCCTTTATGTGGAAAAAGGTAAAAATATCTTTAAAACAGAATATGTACTTGGAAATTTAACCATCTATTTTTGTTTTGTTTTAGTCAAATACTGGAGATAATGTCAGCAGTAAGAGATGAGGATCCTCTGGAATTAGCCAATACGCTATATAACAACACCATTAAAATATTTTTTCCTGACATGTAATTGGTATGTTTTCCACTTTCCATCATGTATGTAAAATTTCATGGTAAAACAATGTTTCAATAAAGGAGTTCTCTGGAAGTTACCTAAGAGGTATTATATATGACTATATACCATCCCCCTCATTTTTATCCGTAAAGACAGATCAGGATTTTTTAATGTCACTTAATGTTTTAGCTTAGAACAACTGAAATCTCTCATCTTTTCAAAAGTCCAAAAGGACAATTTTATGTCAATGATGCAAAGACAGAATGGCTAACATACTGATTTTTACATCGAAATTCTGGTTTTTACCAGATTTTAGTTGATATAAGCCTATTTCTCACCTCACACAATCTCTGAAACATGACCCAGCTCAACTATAATGCTACTTTCAATTTTCAAAAAATATCTCAATCACTTCTGGCAGCCTACTTTTTCCTTAGTTTATAAAAAACTCCACATATAGCCTTTTCCCTCTGGTCCAAATTAATTTCCTTATTAACTCTGGTTTTTCTCTGATCTGCACGTTCATTCTCCCACCCATTTAAAGAAACACTAGGGTCCAGAGTTAGATGCATTATATTCTTTGAGGAATCTTTGGCACAGTTGACGCACCGTATTATTACATTAAAAAGCTATTTGTTCAAATTTTGTCATAAAAACGTGAAAACATTTTATTCTATGTACAATAATGTACACAAATTTAAATAGGTCAGCAAAGAGACCAGAAGTAATTAAAGAGGTATATTTACAGTAGCACATCACAGTAAACGGAAAACCATTCACCGATTCAACATTGATACTGTTTTTGTGCTTGGTTACACACTGAAGTGAAGCATATTACTCCATTTTGGATGAACTGAATTTTAAACAAATACCTCAATGATTAGTAAATGCTATTTTAATCAGTGTCATCATTAATAAATTCTTCAGCTGCTGTGCCTGTGTGCTGAATCACTCCATTTCTTTCTCTTTGAACGTCATCATCACAATCTGTACTGTCATCCTCATTCAATTCCCTGTCAGATTCAGCAGCAGCCTCCCTTATAGCTTCCTCTGGATTTTCATTGGGTGCAATAAATCCATTGTTGTTAGATATATTTGAATTATCCTTGATGTCATCTTCGATGTATACTTTTTGATGGCACATTGGACAGGTATCTTGAATATACAGCCATTTCCGAAGGCAAAGTGCGTGGAAATAATGATTACATGGTGTGATGCGAGCTGATGTTGTAAACTCATGATAGCAGATTGCACAGACATCATCTATTTCTTGTAAGCGGCTCCCTTTTATTTCAGGAAGTGAATTAATTTTCTTAACAGCAGTCCTACGATTCATGAATGTCTTCCAACCATTTTTTGCTTGTAAGTAGATGTTAAAATATGCGTGTAGACACATCATACAAGCCCGAATTTTGCTTCCTGACTCAAACATCATGGTATAAGCCCCATTTCCAAACATTACTACTCCAAATATAAATTCAATAATATTGCCTGTTGAACGAACATAGTAGACATAATCATCAAGCTTTTCCCAGAGGACATTATAGTAGCCATCAATCATGAATAACGTATAAACAGTGAGAGAAACAATTACTTTTAAGCAGAGTTCCACACAAAAGGCTGTAACCGCAAACAACCATGTGTTTAGTGCATAGTGATGCCAAAGAACATAACTGAGTAAAATAGGAAGAATAAACAGGCAAGCAGAGACAAAGAGCACAGGAAAATGTCTGCGAAAAGATGACACATGAGAGGCACTGAGAGACATTAATACAGGGTCTGTCATTCCATGGATGAAATGCAGGACTGCAGTTAATAAAAGGCACATGTTTCTACTTAAGCGAATAAGTCTCTCTTCTGGTCTTAGCCCACTCAAACCAGTCTGAAGAGCCAAAATAAAAAACAAAACAGGTGCTACAAAGCCAAGCCGCCTGTCATCTTCTTCAGTTGATCCAATAAAGGCCAATATTCCAAGGCCCAAATAATGGGCTACTGAGGAAATTACAGCACTCATGCCCAGTACAGTTAGTGTAGAATCACATCCACTAATTATAAGATTGCAAATGAGGTCCCAGAAATCATCCCAAGAAATAAAGAAGGAATCAGTTTCATTTGCCATCCTTAAAATGTACACTAACACTGTAGCCTGAGCTGTGATCCTTGTTAGCCAAAAGACTCTCAGTATATCTGGGAAACGAATCCTCTTCCATGTGTCTTCCATTAATAACTGTAATCCATAAATTCGATACATGTGCCTCACTAAAAGATAAACATATCGTGTAGAATAATAAAACCACTTAAATTTTACTGCCAAGACAAGCACTGTGTTTAATGCGAGAATCAGGGAAGAAGTAAAAACTAAAGTCTCTCGTATGTGTAATGGTAGCTCTGTGATTAAGCCTATTATGGGAACCAAGAGATCCAAAATTATTAATTGTGAATAGATGGAATGAATCTGGAGTAGTGTAATGTATCCAATTCCAAACGTGAGCTGTAGAACAATGAGTGCCATCCACAGTGAGGGTCCTTTCTGAGGAAGCAGCTCAATTCCAAAAGCTGATGTGTTGTAGGCACCATAGAAGTCAATGTGCAAAGAAGCATAATAGTTTACCAACACTGAAGTTGCAGCTAACAGAAAGGCTGAGCTGTACATGTAAAACTTGAAAAGTGATCGCTGTGACAATATCAGAACAATACTGGATATAAATATACCTGGAAGAAAAAAAAACAGGTTATTTGTATGAAACATTTTAAAGACTGTTCTTCCACTAATAGTTATAGTCTTCCTTTAGGAAATACGAACATTTTCAATATTATGAACATTAAGGCTCAATTCATTTAGGCATAAAGGCCAAGAAAGGTTTTGTAAAGTCAGACCAAACAGTTTTTAAAATCCTATCCCTTATTTTCTAATTTCCAAAGTAATTCAAGTAGTACTATATACTTAGGCACTAGATTACCTTGAAGATGAGTTTGTAGTTAAACATTTTAACAGTTTTAAAAATCTTTAAAGAATATGTCCTTCATAAGTTCATAATCATTAAAAGAAGTAGAATTAAAAATAACCAAAATGGAAAACATTTGTTCCTATTAATCTTAGAATTTTTTCCCTTAAAAGTGTGTGTTCTTCAGGGAATCAAGTTTAAGTTTTATACTTACACCTACTTCCTCTTTTCCCCCAGACTGGTGAACTCCTACTCTTATTTGTCCTGCTTCTTAAATTTAAGCATTCTCTCCTGGGTCCAAATTTAATGTTTTTCTTTCTTTACATACTTCCTTGCAAATTTCAGAAATGTCCTCCAAGTTCTCTTTTTTCTATACCTTACTGAATCTTTTTCTTCAAATAGTCAATCTTCTTTATTCAAATTACATAAGTAAAACCAAAACATTCGGAAAACCAAAACATTTTAAAAATGGTAATAAATCCTCCCACTCCTCATTCCATATGTAACCTCTGTATAGTCAGTCTGAGATGTATCCAGCACCATCTTTCTTTGTGCTTGGACTAATTTTTTAAGTGAGATACAATCAACATTATCCAAGGTTTCAACAATGGAAATGACATCTAAATATTTGCCTCGTTCCACTTCTACATTACTACCGGCAACACTCAAAACTTCACTTGTCTCAAATGGCTCTGCTTTTCCTTGCGATTTCCAACTTCAGTTAAAGGAACCATTAATATCCTCTTAATGGTACCTTCCTGCCCCACACTCTCAAGGTTGACAGTTGCCAAATTCTACTAAGCGATTATCTCCCTTTTCTCAGTGATACTAACCAACCTATTAGTTTGTCCCTAAAAACTCATTTTCTCCATATCCATCTACAAGCCATCACCAAACCTCCTTTCTTCATTTCTCCTCTCAAAATACTGTAGGGGCTCTGAAATTACTATCAACTAAAACCTACATTCCTTATCTAGCATTCAAGGATCCAATTTGCTTTAAAGTAACATCTCTCTCAACACACCCACCAAAGCTCCAAACTTCTTTCCCAAACACATCCCTTCTCTGCCATAATCGCAGCTGTACTTATAATATTCTATGCTCTGGCATGATGGCCCCACCAACTTCCCAAATTCCTGACTGTTCAAATCCTATCCATCTTATGGATCCACTTTTATGACAGTGACTGTTTCTTCAGCATACCTACAGAACTTGATGAAACGCCTAATACTCATATACTACCTGACATGGTAGTTTTTAGTTACCTGAGTAGGTATCATCTACCCTTTTATATGTGTTCTTGATAGCAAGCAAGGATCCTACCTTGTATATCTATGGATTCCAAAATATTTTGTAGAAAATAAATACAAGTAGAACTGATTGAGGAACTGATGTTTCTGTTCAGTTCTGGATTGTGTTTTTAAAGGCAATCACAAAATGCAGCCCACTTGGAAATTAAAACTTATGAAGGGGTAAGACAAAGCTGAAAAACCAGAGCTTGGAATACAGAAGAAATGACAAACTCCAAATTACACATCCATCTATCTGCCTTACGTTAGCATGTAATAAGACGTAGCATATTACAGTAGAGGCATTTCATAATCCATTGCATATCAAAGTAAGGGCGAGTTCCTCTATTTAACTTTGCCCATGAACTTAAAATTTATCCCGTGCCAATGCATCAGGTCATTTGTAATCACCTAAAAGATACATAAACCTCTGCATAAGAACCACCTGATTGATTCCCAGAGCAAGTGGGCCACTAATAATCTCTCAAAGAGCTGACAGCTAAGTACTGACCCTTTCAATAGAAAATGAACAATTTTTGAGGATTAGAAACCTTTTCCATGGAAGGTAACAGGAAATGGAATTAACTCAGGTACTACATGCCATATGTAATTGCACTTTCTCGATATAGAAAAACAAGTCAGTATTTTTCCTAAGTCATAACAATCTAAAATGAGTCAAAAATAAAACCAAAATAACTTTTATTTTATGCCACTTAAAAGGGATTGTAAGTTACTTCTGTCAACTTGCTATTCACAAAGTGGTAAATTAATCTTTACTTGTAAATATTCATGAACTTTGCTGTAATTTATAACTAGTCCTTTTTCTAACAGATTTTGTCCCTGAAGTTCATTTTTACACACAAATACAGGAATGATTTGGGTTTTAGAGTATATCTGAAGAAAAAGTGCCATTTTGCTTTATGCAAACATACCAAAGGAAAAAAGGGGAAGAGGATGACAGACAAATGTAGTGAGACTATAATCACAAAGTTCAGATGTGTCCTAGCAAGTAACAATCTGCCACTACTTTCTAGATTAAAATTATATCCCTAAAATGTTAGAATTTTAAGAATAGTACAAAATTGTTTAATTCCTACCCAAAGTTTCCATGTGCAAGGGGTTAAAATTTTCATTTATACTCCTGTTCCTGTGTATGAACAATATAGGAAGAAGAAGGTCTCATTTCACAGAAAAAAAAAAGGCAATTCTCAAAAACAAGTCTCTCAACATTCCCTCTCATGGCCTTTAGGGAATGTTGCCAATAATATCAAACTTCAGATATAAAACTTTTGATATTTATCTTGTAGGCCTAAGGAAAATCAGCCCAGGGATAGAGTTCCTCATTAGCATTTAAGGGTGACCTGCATAAGAAATCAAGGCTATATAAAATGCTGCTTTATAAAGAAAAATCACCTTGGGACGCTGGAGAATAGAATTAACTAAAATCACAACTCAGGATCAAATTCTCCAGAGACCAGTGCTTCACTAAAGGTCTCAAAGTAAGAAAAGAGGTAGGTATCGAAATCAATTTAGGAGTTTTGAAGCTATATTTGATGAACTCAACTCATGAAAGAGTTCAGGGCCTTCACAATTTGAATTACCAGAAATAAGCAAACAAAACAAGCAAGCCAAAAAGAAACCATCACACATGTTACACAACAGTGTTTTAACTCTTTTATGGGGAAAGTCCATTCATATACCCTTAACCTTTCCAGAAACTTAGGACTGAAAATTAGAATTAAGACACAACATTTATTAACTCTCCAATTACCTTAAATACTTAAATTACTTTAAAAATTACTTCAAATTATAAACTAAAGCAAGCTGTGGAAAAACATTTCAATGCCTGACAGAATAAAGATGGAACCCAGAAATAAATGTCATGATTACCTTATTCCCAAGGGAGCCCTAACCAATGAAATGCAAGCCAAAGTAAATAAGATATCATGAAATATTTATCTGTAGGTGTACTTGATAAACTATAGCATAAAGAAAATGTTTGTGTCAAACTCTCATTTTAGGTTAAAAAGAGGGCATTTTAAGTTTTTAGTAAGCTAAAGCTAAAATTTTGCCTTTAGATTAACATTTTAAATGAGGATGTTTTTATTTTAAAAAAAATAAGTGAACATGATTTTTTAAAAGTCAAACCCTATATGTATTAAATGAGGAATAAACCACATTTTACATAAACAAACACATCCATAAACACAAACACTTCTTTGTTTTTTTACTCAAAGGGTATCTTAAGTTAATAGTGGGATCTCTTGTTTTTTACCTTTTAAAAAATGTGCATTTCTGACTACTTATCAAAGAGGGCATTTTCTGGTTTACTGGCCATTCGTGTTTCTCTCTCTGAACAGCCAGTTTAGTTTTGCCTATTGATAAAATTGTTTTTCCTTAATGAATCAGACATTTAAAAAAATATTCTGACTACAAATTCTTTGTCAGTTACCTATAATGCAAACATCTTCTCCAGGTGTTGTGGCTGGTCTTTTCACTTTTTCAATGCCGCCTTTTGATTAACAGAGGTTTTTAATTTTAATATTGTTGAATTTATTAATCTTTATTTTATATATTTACTTTTATATATTTTTAAAGAGTTTTCCCTAAGGTTAAAACATTAAAAAAAAAACAAACACATGTCCTATAGTTTCCTTCTAAAAATTTTAAAGTTCTGCTTTTCACATTTAGGTATTAATCCACTTAGAACTGTTTATATAGTGATGTGAGGTAGCGATCCAGTATAATTTTTTCCATATGGATAACTAAATGGCCATTAATTGAATAGTCTGTATTTACCTCAATGTACTTCAATTCTACCTCTGAAACACATCAAGTTTCTGTATATACATGGGTGGTCTATTTCTGGGCTTTCTATTCTGTGCTATTGGTCTATTTGTATATCTCAGTGGTTTTCAACCACGATCCTATTCCTCCTCTCCTGCAAGGAGTCATCTGGTAATATCTAGAGACATTTTTGGCAGTCTCAACTTGGGGTAAAGGGGTGCTACTGGTATCTAATGGGTAGAGGACAGAGATGCTGCTAAAAATCCTACAATTCACATAACAGCCACACTTCCTCCCTTACAAAGAATTATCCTGTCTACAATGTCAATACTGTCACTGTGAGAATCTTTAGTCTGTCCCTATGCAGTCATAATTACTGCTGCTTCACTTTGCTTTTTTTTACATCACAAGTTTTCTGAGTTCTTTCTATAGCACCAAAAATAACTATCTCTTTTCAACAACTCTCTTGTGTGGTTAAACCTAGTACACTGAACGGATTCCTTTTCAATACACACTTAGATTAACAATTTGTTGTTTTATTACAGCCTTGCCCATATCTTTGTACAATTATATCATCAAGTCAAATTCTTAGAAATGGAATTGTAAGTCAACAGGAATATGATGAATTTCAGTTGACAGCACTAGGTGGCTTTACATACAAGTGACAGCTTACCAAAACTGTAAAATTTTA